TTTTGCCACTACATCACCTCCATTCTTTCTCGAGAATCATGTCTCATAATTGCTCCTAACTAGTAAAAGATGTAAAAATCACAGCGTTTGACTTCGTTTAAGCCACACGTTCGGCTTTCATAGGTATTCGTAGAGTTGATGGAGTGTGAATCCTACGAAATAATGACCTGAACATTTTGCATTTATCCCTCCCCTGTCATTGTCTGGTTAACTGTTCCTTGTATGAATGAACCCTTTAGCTTTCTACTCAGCTTATAATAAGTTTCTGGATACGAACAAGGGGGAGAAAGGGGGGAAGATTTCCCCAACTATCGATCGATTACAGCCGGCAACGCTTAAGCTTTGCAAACATCATTTGTTTATTTTTTGTAAAAAAAAAACTTGAGAAAGTGCATTTGCAGATATTCGGGCTGCTTATGTGATACTGCTACAGTACACCAAATGACAGAAAATTTTCCGCGAAAAACCAAGCATCCGAGATCCCTTTTCGAGCGGTTAAGACAGCTGAGTGGAGATGAACTCGGGATGGACTGCGGATGGTAGTAGAAAAAGCGGTTATCGATCTCTGCAACCTTGGCAGTCCTAGTAGTAGTAGGCTCTATTTTGGCAGCGATTTCTCACATCCATTGGTTGAAATCCTCCCGAAAAGTGGGTAGAACTCGGTACTTGGGACACCTCTGGAAGCTGCTTCAGTGACAAACGATCCCCTCCAAAATTACGCTTGGGAAGGTTAGATTCAGACTGAAGTAGGCCAATTTTTTGGATCACCAGTTCCAAACGGTAAAAAAAAACCTTTCGAACTAAGGTCCTCCCCTGTTCGATATGGATGAGACAAGGCCCCATCGTTTTGTCCGCCACATAGTTTGCCCCGGTGCAGTTCCTGCCGTTCTGATGGATATAATCCATTATGCTAAGGGGATTTTTGTGGGCGTTGTCTGGTAACTTTACTGCGTTTCTGAATCAAGCGATACGTGTCAGCGTTTTTGCTGGCCGCTGCTTTCGCATTCGACGGCATACCGGCAAACATTCGACACCGCTCCAACGTTTTCCGCCTCAGCCCCCAGTTCTGCCATTGCCTATGAGATCTCATTTCATGGTTTTTCGTCATAGAGATGCCCAAGCAACGACCGACTTCGTCAAATGTCAGTTTGTTCTCACATTTTTTTGGAATCTACAGAAAAAAANAAAAAAACAAGATTTTTTTAGACTCATACAAATTAACTTACTACATCTCTATATTATTGAGTCATGGAGTGCCCGAGTTTCAGACCAATAGAGCAGACCAACTTATTGGGCATTGCTCATATATTTCTTCCTATTTATGATCTGAACCCATCCGGTTTATACTTCAAATATGCTTTCTCCCTAGTCAGGGTACGCACTGTCGCGAATTAATTGCTCTACAGAGCAATTATGCATTCCAGATGGGTGTTTATGTTCAAGTACACGAGTAGAAAGATTAAGAAAATTGAGTTAATGGCCATCCTCTGAAGAGGATACAATCAGCCACCCCTCTTGAAAATCTTGTCAATTTAAATAAATCCGGTAACTTTAGTCTTTATTTCTTATGAATGATTCTTAGAACTTGCTCTGGCTGTAAATTTCATGAAAGTCTGCCTGGGACTTTCTTGTACAGTGAACGATAATCGGTTTTCCTCGAAAGATAATGGAGCCCTTCAAAAGCATTGGGGTGCAAATCAATTCTTTCCCTCGTCCCTTCAACGATAAAACGCATAGTAGGTCCTCCCTGTGCCCTGAAGATTCTAAGATTCATTAGAAGTTTTTTTCATAAAGATTGATTGTCTTCGAAAATCAAGGAGTATGCAATCGCTAGAGCAATTCAAGCGCTTGCAATTTTTGATTTAAGATGAATTTGGCATTTAGTTTGTAGAAAACTGATGTGGATCATACCCTATGAGCCTAAAATTCCATGGTCAAATGCAGTCAAGCTCAAGTTCCTTTTCCCTCTTGTTGATTCACTCCAAAGTTATTGGGTACATATGGCATGCCATGACTGCTTTTTACTCCGAAAGAACAGGCGCTGCTGCAGTAAGGGGGCCAGATCAATCAGTAGATAAGGTCAGGAAAATCTCTTGAAAGACAGTTCGAAGTCTAGTTTGCCTGTCGGAGGAGAGACATTGTCATTTTAGTCTTTTGGTTTGGTTTGGATTTTGGTTGCTCCTATGCTAAAGGTCAACTGGCAGCGAAAGTTTAAAAGAGCTCCCCCTGCTGCTTTCAATTTGCTGGCAAACGGCTCCAAGAAATTCCAGTAGGTAGTAGCAGTTACTGGATGCAATAAAACTTTATGTTATACGGCTTGCTGAGGCACAAAGTGCTGGGTGCGCCGGAAGGTTTTTGCTCTCGTCTAACGGAGGTCTTGATATGAAACAGCTGTAGGTGATTACTGGCAATAAATGTTTTGCGTCATCGTTCTGCGTCTGTGGAAACTTCTACCTCTCTTTTTTCGGGGTTCCACAAAACGGAACGAGAAAAGGATATTGTAACTTTTTTTTTGAATTTGGAAAATTTTAGTCAGATTCTGCGGTTGTCCGCCTTTACCACCATCAAGATTTCAATTCCTAATGATCAATACAGTTTGAGAAAGGAGTGATGAAAAAGTAAAAGTTGTCCTCTTGTGAAAAAATATCCCTATGAAGCCATCGAAATCACGTAAGACTAGAGAATTGGCAGTTATTTTTGACATAAGTATTCTCTGACGAACTCCCAGTCACTGATATCAATCGGTATCATTCTCAATACAATTTTACCTCCCAATTTCGTAATTCACTACTGAACTCCTGAGAGTTCCTGTTTTACGTCATTGGTCACCCCTTTATCGTGTCTACAAACTCTCCACTCAAATTCGAAGATTCTCCGCTTCTCGTGCACACCAGACACCTAGTTTTCCTCGACTGAACCGTTCTGAATTGCTTTATCGGCTACCTCACAACCTTCTTGCTGGTACTCTCTTCTTCCCATTCCTTTTTGCTGACATCATTTGCAATGAAATATGCCTTTATCGTTGGTTTTTTGCAGCGTTTGAGCTTTCAACAGGCTCCATCCAACTTCATAAATCAATGTCAAAAGTCAATCAATTGAAAGGCTTGAGATGGAAATTTTCTTTTCCCTAATAGCATTTTTGTTTACTATTTGTACATTCTTCCAAGTGCTGCAGCAGCGGTCTCTTTGGGATACAAATTGTCAAGCGATTGCCCTTTGTTATGAGAGGTATTGAAGGGACCGTTTTCAATAAGAGTTATCCTAGAGGTGGGTAGCTCGGGACAATCTCCAGCCTAGAACTTCGATAGTCGTCTTGAACACCACTTTACTTGCAACTTTTTGGTGAGCAATGATCAGATGGTAAGATTTGTCTGTCAAGACAATTCTTTCACCGAAATCGCAGCTCTCTTTAACCAGACATGAGAAGCTGCAAGCATCACATGTTCTAGTGAAAAGATTACGGAAAACTCATTCTAACTGATGAGTGCAGGCAACCAGATGGTCTTATTTGTTTCTGCACAAAACTTTCACACTACAGCCTGTTTTCTAGAGAAGTAGGTTGCAGCAGAAGTTGCAGACATGCATTTGTCAGAGAACGAACTGTTGGCAGCCTGGGTCAGGGCAACCCATCGATTACTGGCTATTTTTGTTATTTTTTTAATGCATGTAGTCGTTTGAAATGAAGTTGGATTGTAAGCACTTCGCAATGTCTCCTTGGAATTCATTGGAGAAAATTCTCCTGAACACCTGGATAAGCTCAGCCTCAGATCCAAATGATCTTTATCTACTATGCAAGCTGATCTGACGTAACCACATCTCCGGTACTTTTCGTGATGAGTCATGATGTTCAGCTTATTACTGCATAACATTGGCTGGTTACTGTACCGGGGCCACATAAAAACCAAAAAGATAACTAATGAGTTTAAACTGAGGGAGTTGCATCCAGCTTTGCATATCGTGCTGTACGAATCGTAAAAGAAATGAGTCATGGATTCGGCTCACGTTGGTTTCGGAAACAATGAGTCATGAGGACAATTTCTAAAACTGACATCCTCGAACGACGAAATTACTCCTGCGTCAATCGATCACTATGAACAGGGTCGTAAAAATTGAAGAGAAAAATTAGTTTCTGAGCCTAACTGTGCTCAGATTTTTTTGATTTTATCGAAATGGAGCCCTGAATAAGCTTGGGTGATTTGTCTAAACCAATCATCAGAGATCTCTTGAAGCGATCTGAACCCTTCAGAATATCCGCTACATTTCAATGGCGCTTTTTAATTTTTACACGACTTCCAATCCTCTCGAAATCAATTTCGAAAAGTTCAGAAATGGGCGGAGCTCCTATATATTGAACCTTGTCGTCTTCCATTTCACGGGAAAATCGTGTCTTTTCAAAAACTGGCACGCTCCTTTCGGTCTATCAAATACAAACCTGCTGCCCTTTTTCGATGGGAGCTGTACGCATGGTTTATCTTGGGAGCTTTGCTTAACAAACACTTTAATATGACTAACCAATGCTTTCTTCGGTATTTTTACAAATTTTCTGAGATTTGCTATCACAAATCCTCCTCCTTCCTGGTACAATGTTGATAGTCATTTCCACAAACAAAGGGCCAATAGTCATTGGTTGGAACCAAACCTCTAGCTCGAAAGACGACTGCAGAGCTTTCAGCGGTAGCTTTGTAGCTTTGTGGGCTCGGAAACATGTGTCGTTCCAGAGCGACCTTTGCCCGTCACATTTGATTTTAATTGACAAATCGTGGGAAAGAACTAGACATGATTGTGCCTAGTTTGTTCCATCAGGCTACGCCATGAATGAGTTAGCCTTCCGACGTGTACACTGAACTTACTCACAATACAACATATTTTATGGTAGCTGATCAATTAGTTTACTAAATCCTACAAGCTGGTTTCAAAATATCTCAGTTTTTATAGTTTTTATCTCGAGCGCCGAATCCTACGACAAACCTACATCCGACGATTTCTGAAATTTATAGGCGATGTCATTCGATTTGGAGAGCGCTGAGCTCTCCTCATCATCGTGCTCAATTGACGATAAACTACCATCAACAAACAATTTGATTCGAGGCAAAGAATCTCAGTATGCAGTCGGTCGAAAACTCGCACAAGGCCGCTATGGGGCTGTTTATGAGGTAAGATTTTCTGAGCTAACTTTGTTTCATCTCGTAAACTCACTCTTCACCTATTTGATATTCATTAGGATGTGAATTCAATTGAAAAGGAAATTTCGGTCAGTGAAACTGGGTAGACTAAGAAACATAGCACTCAATGCTTCCTGACTTCTTTCTAGGATGCGCCACTTACTTGGAACTCATCCAAAATCTTTGAGGGATTCAGAGGCGTACGAGGCTGCTCAACGCTATCCAACATGAATATTGATATCGTTGTTTTGTTGAGTGATGCTGTTAGAAACCCCACTTTTTTATCGAACAAACCAGGAGCTGAATATCCATATCAATCTCAGAAGAATAGGCATCACCTGTATCACCTGTACTCCCGTTGATCGTCGATTTCCTCGAGCGGGCGCCAGTAACGTCTCCATTCGTCCCTGTGGCGAGCCAGGGTAGTCCAGTGAATCGCACTCGCTCGAGGGACACGGGGCAATACATTCCTTTCGTTCAGAGCTTTCGTGAAGAAGTCTGACCATCTCGTTGGCGGCCGTCCTGGTGTTCGCTTGACGTCCCGAGGGATCCAGTCCGTAACCGCCCTGGTCCAACGGTCATCATTATATCGCATAACGTGTCCGGCCCACCTGATCTTCGATCTCTTGGCGTAATCAACGGCATCCCTGATCTTCGTTCGTCGACGGAGCTCGGAACTCCGGATTCCCTTCTGCACTTGCGTGTATAGGGAAATTTCGGGCATCGTCCTTTCCACAGCGCGTTGAATGACGCTAACTGCATGCTCATCCTGCTTTCGTAGAGTCCAAGTCTCTGAGGCGTATGTCAAAGCAGGAAGTACCGCAGGGTCGAAAAGGTGAGCGC